TCATATTTTGAAAACGTTGTATAATTATATCATTATCAATTTCGTTAAATATATTTTTTTCAATAGATAAAATACAGCTTTGTTCTATTACTAAATTATTTCAAGAAACTGTTTACTAAAACCTTCCAAGATTGCACACGGACCAGAGATGAAAATTGAATTTTCAATTCCCTTAATCACCGTTCTCTGAGCCTTAAACTTCCCGTGAACAAATAGTTAGAAAAATGAACCACATGCACGCAAATAAAAAATGCAAAGAGGAATTTCTAGAAATTAAAATTATTTCAATGTTTAGTTTGTATTTTTTAATTGACGGAAGACATATAATTTGACCCAAGATGTTTAACTTTCATGAAGCCAACAAGTCTTAAAATGATAAAAATCGCGTCCTACTTCGAGATAGTTCGACTATAGCTACCTTCAGCTTTTAGAGGTGTATTTGTTGCTTCGCAAATCATTAGCAGTTGAGGTTAAAATTGAGTTATCTTAATAAATATATTCGCAAAATCTTGATTTTCCCTACAGTCCCTATATTTATTCACAAAAAAACAAACAGACACACAATAAGCATATAATATTTTACTACGAGAATTGAAACACGTAAACCCGAATTCCCAATCACAAATAACAATGAAAACAATAAAATGTTAAAAAGTACAAAATAGGGTAGAAATGAAGAGCCTTTTGATTTCTTCTTTTTTATAAAGAGACAAGAATTATTAAGTGTATTGTTTGTAAGATGATCCTATATAGCTCGTTCATATTGTATTTGTCCAATGTTCAGAAGCAAAACAATTTTCAATTTAAAATCAAAATTTTAGTTTCCTTCAACTCAAGAGAATAATGTCATCTTTCGTTATGTGACAACTGATATTGATTTATTGTTCTTGAGTTGTTATGCACTTTTATGAATTAGACAAGGGTAAATTTCACGAAGAGTGCTACTGTTACAGAGATATTTTTTCTGTCAAAATAACTGATCACACACATAGGGGGTGGGCCCATTTTTTATAATAATATTTTATTCACATGGGGCCCACCCCCATGTGAGTGTTTTGTCATTTTTACAGATGAAATAGTTATGTACAAATGGAATAATTGAAATTTCACTAGGTCATTAAACTTTACCCTTAAATGCAATCGGGTCACTTAACTTTAAATCGTTGCAATCATACCACTGTACTTTAACTTTCTTTAATAGATTTGGTAATGTGACCGTTATGAGTAACGGAATTTTCACGTGTTCTGCCAAGTCAGCAAAGTAATTTCACAAGCGACCATTGCACTTTAGCTTTACTTGCAATCAGGTCATTGAACTTTTAACTCAGGACAAGTCAGCAAAGTAAATTTCACAAGCGACCATTGAACTTTAGCTTTACTTACAATCAGGTCATTGAACTTTTAATTTGGGACAATCACACCATTGAATTTTAATTCTAAGGTTCTAAAAAAGCCTTTTAAAAAAATTAATATTAGTTATTTTAAAATAATAAACACTATAATTACTTAATAATTTCTAGTTTTTTTTTACATTCCAACTAAAATCAGATGATTCTGCGAAATACCATGATTCGTTTTATAATCACTACAATCATCTGTTTTTTTACATTCCAACTAAAATATTCTTCTTTTTATTTTGTATGCCAAGCACACGAGTATGTAACTCATTTGGTAATTAAAAATAAAATATTCAAAATATTAAAGAATGATGCTTAAAAGTTGCTATCTTTAGGGTCCGTTTGATTGCAAGGGTGGAAAACGGGTGGAAAGAAAATGTTTTACAAGGAAAAGATTTTCATAGAAAATGTTTTCCTAGGAATTGTAATTAATTGTGTTTGATTGATATAATTTTCTACCTGAAAAATGTTGAAAGTTTGGTGTTCGTTTGAAAGTGATAATTTTTCTACCAGTATGCCTAGAATTTGTTCTAATTACCAAAAAGTTAAAAAAAATATTTAAACAATTAGAAAAAATTACTATATTCGTTTGACTTTGTTTTACATAGAAATTGTCAACAAAAATGAAAATTCTTTTTACAATAGTTGATAGAATTGGTTGCCATCGCTCAAAAAAAAAAAAAAAAAAAG